CCCCTCCAGGGGAGGAAGGGTCCTTCTCTGCCTCTTCCAGCCTCTGGTAACTCAGGACACCACACTTCCATATGGGGGCACTGTGATCCCCTGATGACCTCTCCCTTAAGCCTGCTCCTGCATTTTTCCCTTGGAGTTTTCCTCTTCCCTCAAGGACATCATTGGTATTCGGATGAGATCCACACTAATGATCTCAACTTACTTGATCTGCAAAGATCAAATCTTAAATGCAGCCGCATTCTTGGGTACCAGCATCCAAGGCTTCAGCTTACCTTTTGGGGCAGTGTGGCAGGCACAATCCAGTCCACAACAGTACCACCATCCCATTGTATCCTCTTTTATCAGGAAGCTTGTTATATGTGCATAACATGAGGGTAGCCTTAAACCGTTTGGATGCAGGAGAGCAACTAGCCTGGGAACTTGGGAGTAGTCACTGAGATGGATCCTTTCTCAGGCTCAGACCAACTCTAGGTAAGGCTTTAGTTTGGGTACTGACTCTACCTCTAGCACCCCACATAGGGTCAAGTGGCAGAGTAGCTCTGGGGGACCCAGGGATAAGGCACTGCCCTACACAGAGTCCCACTGGAACAGGCAGTCTGCTTGATGTCTGCTGCCGATCATTGAGAAGAGTCAGCTCTCCTTTTTGTTTCCTGTGAGAGAAACACTGCTTCATTCACCCAACAATTACCAAGTTCCTACCATGTGCCAGGCAGTGCTATAGGTGGAAAGATGCATGGTGGACGAGAAAGACAGAATCGTTGTTCCTGTGGAGGATGCATGACAGTGGGAGAGACTGAGAATGCCTAAGTAAACAGGCAGCTTGCATCATTTCAGGTGAGAATAAGCACAGTAGAAAACAAGGCAGAGTGTGGAGAAAAGGAATCTGTCTCCGCTGTGGGTGGGAGTGTAGACCAGCACAACTGCTGTGGAATCAGTGTGGGGATTCCTCAGAAAACTCAGAATAGAGGTCTCATTCCACCCAGCTGTTCTTCTTTTGGGGTCTTCCTGGAAGAATTAAAAACATCATACCGCAGCAACAGGTGCACACCCATGTTCATAGCAGCACACTTTGTAGTGGCCAAATCTTGGAAACAACCCAAATGCCCATCAGCCAAGGAGTGAACACAAAAGATGTGACATTTTTATACAATAGAGTGCTACTGAGCAAAAAAGGATACACTCGAGGCATTTATAGGGAAATGGATGCAACTGGAGAGCAACTCATAAGTGAGATAAATCATATTCACATGTGTAAACATCATGTTGTCTCCTAGTGTGAGAAGCTGAGAGAATAAATAAGATCCAATATGCACACAGGATACTGTAAAGGGGAAAGAAACTGCTCCAAAGGACAGAGAAACAGGGATGGGAGAAAGCAGAAAGCAAGGAAAGGAAAAAGAAAACAAGATATATATGTACACACACACACACACACACACACACACACACACACACACACAAAATAGCTGAGATAGTTACACCACTAGTTTCTCTTACCTCACTGAAAAGAAAGCCTGCTGCTAATATCATTTAGATAATTTTTCATGTCTGTATCTTGTACGCAGAGCAACTATTTTGAACATAACAATATGTCATGCATTAACTGCTGTTTCTCTTCTATTATTGTTTAGAAATTTGTTTTTTCTTTAAAACAAAAAACAAAATAAAGCAAAGGGTGGGAAATGAAGGGTGTCATGGTTTATGTTTGTGTCCCCCAGGCCTCATGAGTTTGCATTGTTCATTTGTGATGGTTCATTGTCTAGTGCTTGGATTGATGGTGTCAGTGCTCCACCCACACAGGGGTGGAGCCAGGATGTGATGTAATGGCAGGAAGAAGGTGTGTCTCTCTTTGCTGGTTTGAGCTTGCTGTTGGCGGTCGCCATGAACTGCATTCCAGCCATGCCCGCCTGTCTTGGAGCCAACTTAGTGTGGACTGAAACCTCCAAAAACTGTAAGAAATAAACCTTTCCTTTCCCAACTTGGGCATCAGGTATTTTGTCTCAGAGACAAGCATAAAGTAACCAATACAAAGGGGAAGGCTTCTTTAAACAGTATCCCTCCTAGAAATCAACAGTGGACCAGAGATTTGAGTAACCTAGCAGTAGGTCACACAAAGACTTCAGGAAAGAGCCTTCTGGGCAGAGAGAAAAGCATGTGCAGACACCAACAGAGGTGTGAATTAGGAACCTTTGAGGGAGGTAAGGACTTCTGCGTGGAGCCAGGGTTAGGGTTAAAATGGGAGAGAGAAAATTGGGGAGGAAGGAAGTGAGCTTCTAAGGCACTTAGATTGTCCCAAAGTGTCAGGATTGCAGATGGAACTCAGGGAGTGGAAAGCAGACTGTCACCTCTGGTGTGTGTGTGTGTGTGTGTGTGTGTGTGGTGACTGAATTGTATGGAGCAAGAAGAGAGGCAAAGAGAACACTTGGTAACCAAAGGCCACAGCCCAGGAAGGAGATGAAGACAGGTAGGAGGAAGCCGGGAGCCGTGGCGCTGGTGAGAAGTGGCCCATTTGGGGTTTTTGGCTTTTAGGTATACAAGGAGGGTCTGCTGGCTTGAGTAAGGGGCACAGAGAAAGCAGGGGGAGTTAGCGTGGGTTATTTGTTAAATCACTTGGCAAAGGCTGGTGCCATCTCCTTAGAAGTTAGCAAGTTTGGGAAGAAGGAAAAGTCAAAGTTCCTATTTGGCCAACAGTACAGTCTTCTCTGAGGATGGCTAAGTAAGTCTTCAAAAATATTTCTTTATTGAGATACCATTCACACACCACAGAATTTATCAAATTGAAGCACACAGTCCCATGGCTTTTAGTCTAATGTGGCTGTCAGTAAGATTTCTACATCCACCACCATCTGTGCAAGCCTCAGGTCTATCACCATGATTAACTTCAGAGCACTTTCATCACCCTCAAAGTAAACCCCTCATCCTTGGCTGTTTCCTCTAATCCCCGCCCCTCCTCCCTCCACCATAGCTAGGCAACCAGTAATTGAGCTTAGGGTTCAAAGGAGAGGCTGGGGCTGGAAATATACATTTGAGTGTCTTTCATAGTAGATGTAGTTAAAGGTGATGACTGTGAATAGAAGACTGAGGAGTGAGGTGCTTGGGGGTCTAGAAAAAGAGGGAGAAAGGTGATCAAAGGAAGCTCCTGGCTCCTAGAGAAACCATGGAAGATGGTCATCCTGCAGGGGAAGGTGGCCTTGGGACATGGCACTGGACAAACGGGTTCTTCTTCTTGTTTCCACTTGCAACACCTGCTATCAAACATGCAAGAAACCCTGTGGTCCTTCACTGCCACTAGAACTTTCTGAGTCCATCCTATGATCATTTCCCTAGCCTACCAGGGCTACCCAGAAAATCTGCACTCAAAAGATTCATTTATAGGAGGAGACCAAATTGCTCATTACCCAAAAGATTTATGACCTTGTGGAGATTAACTCTTGTTGCTGTTAATGGATGTGGTGCTGAAAGCAATGACAGAACATAGGTCTCACTTTATTTTTTAATGGAAAGAGCTAAAAGCCCCATCCCCCTTCCCCAGACTGGCTAATTCCACAGAGAATGGAAGACATAGAACCCTCACAGTCTGCCCCAGGCCACCTCTCCTCTCTGCAGGAGGATGACTGTGACTTTCAGGAATTCTGGGATTTCTGAGATTCCAAAGGGGGCCTTAGTTCAAAGCTACTAAGGCCAGGTAAGGGCAGAGGAGTCATGCTTGTCACTTTGCAACACAGGGTGCGATGTCCTTGTCCACAAGGCCCAGGGAGTCTTGGGAAATCCTTTTCTGCAGTGTGTGATTATGAATGTGAGCTCTAAAGGCGGTGTGCTCCAGGGTGAAAGACTGCCCGGACTCTGATGAAAACATACTGTGACAGCAGAGGTCCCTGGGAATCACTGAGCTTTGACATCTGTTTATCTCCTAAACTTTCAGCTCAGCTTCTAAATTGCACAATGCACTGTGTGTGTGTGTGTGTGTGTGTGTGTGTGTGTGTGTCTGTCTGTCTGTCTGTGTGTTCTGGGTATTCCAATCCAAGCCCTCACACATACTAGGCAAGTGCTTTACCACTGAGCTACACCCCCTGAATCTTTGTTAAAACTTTATTTGCTGACAGGGTTCTGATAAATCGTCCAGGCTGGCTTCAGATTTCAATTCTTCTGGCTCAGCCTACAGAGTTTGTGAGAACTACCATAGCCTGCTCTGGTATCCTTGGGAATTGGAATCTATCTGCTTTTTCACGATCTTTTCAACCCCCTAAGGGACCAAGATGTACAAGGCCAAATACATACATTCTGTATGCCTGCACACAGAAATATCAAGAAAATAGGGCAGAGATCAAAAGAGCATGTAGGTGAAACCTTCTCTTAATATAAAAGTATCCCGCTGATTTGTGGCTACTGAGTGGGACCAAAGTTGTCTAGGGTTCAAAGGCATGTGATGGAGAAGAGGGGCAAAAATTCAGCAAAAAGACTTCTGAAAAGGTTGGAATTGGACTCCCCAAGGAAAGAGGGCTGTGGGGTTTTCTTTTTCCTTTTCTGGCATCCCGGTTGACTGTTGAGGTGCCAGGAAGTGCAGGGCTCAGTGAGCAGCCCGCAGAGCTTTAAATTCTGTAGGGCTCCTGTGGTACAAATCGCAAGTTCTGTTGTTTCTGTTTTTCAGAACTCTATATTCCAGTTATAAAGAACATTCCTGGATGGAGGCACGGTAGAGATCTCCAATCCCAACCCAGAGGAGGGCACCACAGGGGAAGGCTGTTGAGAATGGTGCCCTACCTTCCTACAAGTCCAGCTTTTATCTCCTAAAATAGTACTGGGAAGGGGACTCCTGGAGAGATCACAGGAGAGACCAGCAGGTGACTATGCAAGCAGAGTAGGTTTTCGAAACAAAACCACCAAGGGAAAAAAAAAAAAAAAAATTGTTAAGAATTTCCCCTATGTGGCAGCATTTGCCTTGCAGAAGGAGGTTTGCAAACAGACTTCCCAAATCTCAGCTGTGGTTGCTCCAGCGGCACAGGGGCCCATGTGAAGAAGGGAGGCAGGAGGTCTAAGCGCTGAGCTAGGACTCAGATACCGCGCCCTCTGGTCTTTATCCTGACCAGATCCAGAGGACTGACTTCCGAGCAAGGGCCTGGTACCCCTGGGCCCAGGTTTCCGGAGAACCCTCAGCCGCGTGGTTTAAGCGCCTTTAGGTTGGCCTGGTGAACTGTGGCAACTTCCAGCTGCCAACAGTGTCGAGCGCAGCTCCGCTAGATCCGAGCGCCTGCAGACGCGGTCTCTGGCTCCTCCTTCTCCGCCACGGGTCGCGCGACTCCAGCTCCGCTGCTCCGGGTGGGGGCAGCAGTCTAATTTCCCACCCGCGTCTTTGAGCTCCGCAGGCGCAAGGCGCGGATCAGCTTGGCCCGCATCTCAGAGCGCAACCTGCCGGAGTGGCCGAGCCTGCGACCCTGCCCCGCGCCGAGGCGAGCCGCCCGCAGTGGGGTAGGGCAGAGGGCGGGGTGGCAGGGGCTCCGTGCAGGGCGCGATCCCAGAGCTACCGCAGCGCCCGGCGCGGCCCAGCTTCCTTCCCGCTGCCCGCTTGCAAGTTTGGCGGCTCCAAGCCCCGCGCACCTCGGCACCCAGGCACCTTCGTTCCTGCTGGCCTCGATGCGCCCTGCTGGGCGGCGACTCTCAGAAGCGATGCCCATGGATGCGCTTTTAGTTTTAGGGTTCTGCGTGTGCACGGCCAGGACAGGTAAGCGAGGCTGGGCGTTGGAGGGATTCGGGGAACGGGGAGGAGGCGCCCCGCTGCTGTAGCCCGCATCCACACTGGCGCAGGCAGACTGGCCTGGGCTTGGCGCCGGCCAGCGGGGAAAACAGCGGCACGGGTTGCTCCTTTAGATCATTGTGCCTGACTCGGGGTGAAAGGGCGACCATCGGCCCTCGAGGGCTCGCAGGGATACCCCCAGCATCCTCCTCCCCAGGGACGCGGCTGCCTGAGGGCATTGGGGAGTTAGGGGCGCGGCCCCGTGGTCGCAGCCTTGCTGCTAGAAAACGGCTTTTAGGCTTTAGGGGGTCCAAATCCACAGCAGGGTGGACCTGCGAGCCCGGTGTCCCGGAACTTGGAGGGTCCGAGACAGGGAGCAAACTGCTCCCTGAGCCTGGCAGGGAAGGAACCTGCTGAGGGGCACGGGGTGGGGGGACGGGTGGGCGCAGCCTATCCTGAGAGGGCGCAGCGGGGAGCGGGACCAGAGACCTGTGCTCTCTCCCAGTCCTTGCAGACTCCCAGGGCAACTCTGAGAGTATCCATGCTCTAGCCCGCTTCTGCCCCATGGACCCGGAGAACAATTTTATTCAGTGTGATTGGAGTAGCAGAGATTACTGGAAGGATTTTTTCGAGCTAAATCTGAAGATTGCAGGGCGCGGGGTGTGGGGGGTAGCGCGGAGAACAGGCATAATTGTCTCAAGTCCCTGCTCTGCTTTGCTTCTGGGGCGCAGTTGTGGGGACTCCAGGAGCACCTCCTTCCTTTGGCTTCCACAGGCTCCCTTTCCCCAAGTCCTCTGGGGCTCCAGCCAGCTGTAGCAGCTTTCTATAAGGAGCTACTTGGAGATGCTGGGAGAACCCGGTGAGCTGAGCAGGGGTGGAAATAGGCAAAAGAGTAGGGGCTGCGGGGTTGCTGGAATTCTCATTCCAAGCCAGAAGCCTGTCCTCTGACAGGTGAGCCGCTCACTTTGAACCCCAGGATGCATGCATGGCTGTCTCCTCCCCGCTAATCTTTTACCCCATGGCACGCTGATTTTCCTTCTTCGGAGGTGCAGCCTCTTTCCTGGTGAGCCAGCAAGTTTATCCAGAAAGAACCCCAGGAGGGGCGCTGGCCCTTGGTTAGCTCAAAAGTTCTGTCTGCCCTAGCCCCAGGTGCCCCTCTAGGCAGTGGGATCCAGGAATCCCAGGCCACTAGAAGCTTCCAGCTAGGGACTGAGCTTTCCTTTTTGCTTAATCTGAAAGCAGTACAGAGACCTTTCTCCAGGGATAGAAGACCTCTCCTACTTTCCTTCTATCCAGCCAAGCTGCCCTGGCTGCAGAGGCTCCTGACTCAGGCTGGGCTGGAGTAACTGTTTTTGGGAAGGGTAGGTTAATCTTTCAAAAGCTAGAGTGCACTGGCAGGGACGCTTCCCAGGAGGAGAAAGAGGACAGGAAAGGCTGGTGCAGAGTGGGGACTGCCAGCCCAGAGCCCCAGAGCAGGGAGAGCCAGGGAGGATCCACAGACTGGGAAACGCTGGACGGGTCACTGTTTAAACTCAAGTGCCAGGTCCAAGGTGTCCAGGATCTGTGTGCTCATTACTGCTTTGACATGTTGACCTCCCCCCACAAGTCACCTCATCTAGGAGTGCACTGACTGTCTTTCCAGAGTGCATTGCTGTGGCCCTTAAGCATACCATGGACTTCTCCATCCCCTCGCCAAGACCTTTCAGTCTTGTAAGTCTTATAAGACAAGGATAGGGAGTGGAAGAACTAAGATATTTCCGTCTTCATTCCACAAAGAGCTAAGTATCTTGCTAGTTACCTAATATCATATAGAGAGGAAATGGCTTGGTCCCCGACTACTGGGACCTTAGAGTTTAGCTGAGAATCCAGGTAGCAGCTGGGAAGCACATTCATTATACAGCTGGATGGGGTGAGATGGGATTTTAAGAAGTTTTCGTGAAGGAAATAGAGAGTGGGAAGGGGTGGATTAATTCTGGGGGAAGGTGGAAGTGGTCAGGGAAGGTGACATTCCCAAAGTGCGTATTGTTGGGGTTTTGAGGGGGGTAAAGTGGGAAGCACTTTGTACAGGCAAGAACTCAGCAAAGCAGAGATACTTGGGGTGGCCTGACCTACACACTGGTTGTAGCTGTTACCTGGGGAACTTAACTTTTCAGTGCTGCAGGATCCCTTGCTACTTGTACAGTGGAGGTCACATATTTGCTATACAAAAATTATCAGGAGACTCAAGGAGACAAGGACGGAATAACTTTGCGTTTGTACACTAGCCATTTTCTTGAATATGTACATAGCTTTCTGTGGACAGCCTCTTTGATTTTGCTGGAAACCCACATTCCCACATCCAGCCACTTCTGTAAGGAGTGAAGGCTGGCTGGTGATGAGTTTATCGGGATCTAAACAGCTGCTTGGGAAGTTTATTTTTCAAGTGAGACAATTGTCGTGAGGGATGTTAACAGTCCTAGATGAAATGAACTTGTGGCTCATTTAGCGAGCTGCTGGGATATCACTGCCTTTTAATGGAAATGAGTGGATGGTATCAGGCACCTTGTAATTAAGGCAAGGTTGCAGTGCGGCAGCAGTTACCTATGAGAGGATCTAGTGACAGGTGTCCTAAGGAGGCTGCGGACATTGTTCTTATTCTGTAAGCTTCTGCTAGACAACAGAGTGGAGTAAAGATAGGAGACGCTGTTTTTTAGTTTTTGTTCTTGTTTCTGGATAAAAAATAATCTGGGACTTCGATAATGAAACCTTGGAGGCTACAGTAATAGCAGTGTCCGTGAGTTTGGAAGTGTGAGTTACGTGAACTCAAGGATTATTCTCCACTGCTTTCCTGTTTGCTTTAGTCACTAGGGTAGGGAGTGGAGAGAGTACTGTACCTGAAACATCAGTGTCCCAGGTGCCCAGGGGAACACTTTTTGCTGCCACCTGCTGGCCTGGAGAGATTTTTTTTCTTTTGGAAGCGATTCCCAAGTGGTTTATTAATTATAGATTGAATAATTGAGCTGTGAAAATGAGCCTCCAGCCTCCAGTGATGTAAAATATTGGCTCACTTGAAACAGAGAGCAGCTTCTTCAAGGAAATTGCTTCTGGGGTGTTCACAACTGATCAAGCGGTCATGAAATCCTGCTATAAAGGGAGGCCTCACAACAGATTTCCAGCGTCATTTTACTCTTCCTCATGGTCCAGGAAAACAGCTGTAACCATGGGACATACTCACATTAGATCTGAATTGAGCCAGAAGCAATAGGGTCTGTTTGGGGGCCTAGGCCCTGGACATCAAAGGTGGTGAGTGGGCTTTGGGCTGGAACACTCCCAGAGCAGGGCTGAGAGTGGCCAGCGGCAGCAGGTGTTCCAGTCAGGACCAAGGCTGTGAATCCCAGGGCCGGATCTCAAGTGCCCTGTGACACTGACAGGCTGCCTTTCAGGTTTTAAAAATATCTCCTCCCGGGAGCTTTTTATCCTGCCTCATTCTAATTCCCAGCTTCAGCCATTTGTGGCGATTTATGTCAAAAGAAGAAAACTTTATAATAGAGTTTCCCAGGAAAGGGCAGGAGCTCCGTGCCTGGAGAAGAAACAGAAACACTAAAATAAAAATATTCCTGGAACTCACACTCTCGTGCTCCGTAAGGTTCAGGAGGGGCCGTGTAAATACTGCCTTATTAATAGGTTTCCTGATTCCCTAGGTGCTGTGCAGAGTGCTACCCCTTATACATCCTGCTGTTGGCTCTCGGCATTTTCATCCTGAAGGCCACCAATTAAAGGCGGAGGAGAAAATTGTACCCAGAAGCCTAATTGATTTATTTTGCATTGTTTTGTGCTTATGTTTTCATAAAAAGAACACAACAGTTGTTGGGAGGGGGTGACCACCTGAATGTTCCACATTATTCTAAGAGTTGAAGACCAGGATTAGCGAGGTGGAGTGGAATAGGAAGATGCACTTTTAAAAAAGGCAGGTGAGGAAGATCCCAGTTGAACATGAATTCTGCCCAAGTCTGTCCAAGCTATGGGGATTGTTATGGGGTCACTGTGGAGACCATCCTGCTTTCACAGATGAGGAGACAGAGGCTTGGAGAAATAATTTTTCCAAGAAGTGATCAAATCTGTAGAGGGAAGAGATGGGGATGCATGGGGTTTTAATTTAGCATTTTTTTGCAGCACTTTCTGGATTGAGGTACTGTGTGTTCACCTTAGGAGAAGGACTCAACATACTATTGGGACATGATGGTCGGTTCTGAGAATCTAAGTGCCTCCTAGGCTGGTGCGATCCAGGGCTTCCTGGTCTGGGAGATTTGGTATCTTTGGGATGACCTTGCATCAGTTACTACCACAGTACTGTCACATAGCACGGACTTAAAATAACAGTCATTTATTTTGATTCATGTATCTGTAGGTCAGATTTACCTGAGCCAGACTTGGTGGAGCTTAGTTCCAAGTTTAAGTGGGGGCCTGTACCCCGTGTCTTAGTCTTCCTGGAGCAGTGGGCCTGCAGGTCCGTGTTCTTCTCATGGCGATGCAGAGGTACAAGGAAGTCAGGTCCCTCCGCGCAAGCACATGGAAGCCTATGCTTGTGTAATGTTACTAAAATCCCGATAACCAATGCTAGTTACACTGCTGAGCTCAGTCAGGGGGTGGGGAGGCCTCCTGTCACTCTAGTGGGAGTAATTCCTAGCCACATGTCACAGAGTGTGAGTGTGGAGAAATGAAGGGCTGAGGCCAATAATTCAGCCAACCGTAGTCTCCTCACAAGGTTGCCTTGGCCTGGATGCCATCCCGTCCTCTCATGGTGTCCCCAGATATGCACATTGCTCTGATGTCTGTTCTCCCAGAGCAGTGACCATGAACCCACTCATCAGGTAATTATTCATATTCTAAGTTAAAAGCCTATAAGGTGTCAGGACCTGTGCAAGGCACTGGGGCCAGAGGGACACCTCCTTCCTTTTGTGTCTGGTGAAGGGCACATTCACCAGGCCACTCTCAAGATTCCTGGACAGAGAAGGACCAGCTTGGAAGTCCTTTGAGATCACCCTTGATTTAATTTCTGCCATATAGGAGTAGAACACCAAAGGTCTAATTGAAATTAGTTCCATGCTTGTCTTTCCAAGGTGATCACAGAACTACTAGCACCTGAGCTCACTTAGAGAAAAGCAGTGTGGGTCTTGGTGCCGGACTTGGGACCATAGGAAACTGGCTGGTTGACATCTGGTTTGCACAGAGCAGCTGCTTCTGAACTGGGTCTGTGTGTAGGATGAGCAGGAGTAAGCACGTGGAAACTAGTCAGAGCATTACTGGTCCCCTTCTTCCTTTACCTGTAAGCCTTGAACGCCTCCAGTGATACAGCGGTCAGGCTCCTTGTTGCAGGCTGTGTGAGAGCATCCTCAGTGTCCCGCCATCCATATATTCATAGTCCTCCCTTGGTGATACCTGTTAAAAACTTATTACATAGATGACTGCAGAATCTGTGGAGGTAGCAGTTGTCATGGAGTAAACTGCTTGGAGTAAACTGTCTTGGAGTGATACCCCATAACAGGCTGTATTTCATAGGCGAGAATTCAGACCTTCAGTTTAGGAGACAGGGGAAAGCCTGATAAAAACAGCAAACAGCTGTGATGTACACTATACCTTCTATTTAACCTTTTTTTTTTTGTCCTGGAAGTGACAGGTTTCAGCTCCAAAGAGCCCTTCCACAGTGAGACAGAAATCTCACTGTGCAGCAGTCACTGTTTCCTAGCAGGAAAATAGGAAGCAGATAGAGGGGGTAGACTTCCTTCCTCTCCTGTGTAGGGCCAGGTGAATACGGGAGCACAGGTGAGGCTATGACAGCTCACAATGTCCTGATGAATATTGTCCCAGGTGCTTTGGGACAAATCGGGTGCAAGCTCTCATAATGTAGTCTTGGTGTCTGCATTACCATTGATGAAAGTTGACAGCTGTTGCTGATTAAAACATTTCCAACTGCGCAATCTGAAATTCACTATTGAGATGTTAAGTGTAGATAGATGCAAGCTTTATGAATGGCTGAACAGTTCCTCACCGTGATATGCAGCTTTCTTAGCATATATAATTGGAAATCACTTTGTAGTCATGCATGGATCATTCCGCAGAACACGGATTGGGTAAGAGACACCTCTGGTATTTTCCATTCTTAGACCAGGAAGTGGGAGATCAGGCCCGTGTTTCTTTTCATTGAAGTTCTCCAACCAAAGTCAGGCATCCCCTTGAGTAGAAATACACATCTGAGATTCTACTTTTTGGCCAGCCCCTGCCCTGTTCTTTTCTAGTAGGACCGGCGTCCCTCTCTATTTTTTTTATTTTATTTTATGGGTGCTGGTTGTACCTGAGTAATAAATGTGTTCTGTATAGGACTTTATTGTGGTGGTGACATTAGATTTTGCCTTTTCAGCTATCTTTGAGGCAGGTGGTTCACAGTTGTAAACACCTATCTGCAGTTCCAAAATTAGAAAAATCTTAGCACCATAAGGTTTCTCGAAAAACTTACCAGACAGGAAAGCCTATCCTGCCTTGAACTCACCTTTATGAAAATTAGAGAAAAACACCATATTCTTTAGTCCAGAGTATTGCAGACTCTGCTAGTGGGATGCTGATTCATACTTTGCAGAGAGTATTGTCTCAGATATGGCATATGATGCATTCTGAGTTCTGAAAAATGTTTGGCTCTGAGGATTTGGGGGGATTATCTGTGTAATGCAGAGAGGGACTGGGAAAAGGTACAGAGAAACTGTGCTATCAGAGGGGCAGTGGGAAGAGTTGTTTTCTCTTACTCTCCAAGGACTCTCCAAGTACTCTCTTTTGACTTCCGTGTATTCCCCACCACGCCCTGCCTCAGTGGTCTCTGTTCTGTGTTGCTGCTAGCCTGCTGTCTACTATGCCAAAACAGCTCTTTGTTGCTTTCCAGTGGTTGGCTCTGGGCTGGACCCTGACCTTCAGATGGACATTATCAGCGAACTTGACCTCGTAAACACCACCCTTGGAGTCATTCAAGTTTCTGGACAGCACAATGGCAGCAAAGCGTTTTTATTTAAAGGTAAAAAGACTTCTTCCTTTTCACGGGGCAGAGCCTGGGGAGGAGTGCTGGTCAACAGGAGTGTCCACCTGGTGTGCCTTTGTCTGGTGGTCGCCTTTGCTAGTTGTCTTGGATCCTGGTCCAGAAGCCTATTGAGATGGGGGTTCTGAGAGTGGGAAGAGGTATTGGGGGGTGTCGTGGAGAAATGTTTGGTTTGGTCATAAAATGGCTCCTTGAAGATTTTGGTGGAGAGTTAAAGGATAATAAATCTGGAAGAACTTTGGAAACTATTGGTCCACAATGTTATTTTTGCAGGTGATCACTTCATCTATTATCTGTCCCTTTAGCTGTGTGTATACCTGTATCCCTCATCTCCCTGGTAGACCATGAGCACAGTAGATACTATGGCTGTCTCCTCTTTACAGTCCAGCTTTTCTTCCCCTTTCACTTTCACAATGTCTAGTGTACAACTAGGATGAGGGAAAGGAGAAAAGAAAAAAGGAAAAGGTTATATACATATATATGTATATGATAGATAATTACAATACTAATAATGAAAGGGAAAGAAAGTGCTCAAAAGAGCAACTTTCCTTTTGAAAAGAAGAGGGAAGGAGAGGGAAAAGAAGAAAAGGAAGAAAGGAAAGATACGTGTGTAGGGATACATATATAGATGTATGTGTGTATGTATGCAAGATAACTGTACTACTGATCCCTGTTAGTTCATCAAACAGAACAGTTTGTGCTGTCATTGTTTGATTGTTTGATCATTTTTTATGCCTACATCTTGTCACCTGAACAACTACTTCTAAGATAACAATATTAATGTATTAACTAGTGTTAATTTCCTACTATTTTTTGAAATTGTGTCATTTCTACCATTTTTTCTGTTTTTTGCTTTTTTTAAAAAAAAGAACCTTTGTGTTTCTTTGTTTGATAACAGTACCCACTATATTAACCATTGTTAATTCCCTGTTACATTGTCTTGAAATTCTGTCACATTATAAGTGAGCTTACCCAGGCCTGCCCATTATAAAATTGATTACAATTCATGAAATCACTCAGTGAGCATTTATAAAGACAGTGTTCTGTGGTTGTTAAAAGGATGGGCTCTGGAGCTTTACTGCTTGGGTTCCACATTAGCCCTGATTGCTCTGAGACTTGAGTGATTACTTAGTTTGATTTGTTCTCATCTAAAACAATAGATCCTTGCTGAAGCTACCTCATATGGTGGCTATGGGGATTCAGAGGCAGCCTGTGAGAGTAGCCTGGTAAATTCTACCTTCCCTTTTGGAGTTCCTTTCCTGTATTAGGCAGCATGCTAACAGTAGGGTTACCAGTAAGAGTACATAAGAGGCAGCCCTTGCTCTAAAATGTAATGAAGGAAAAGTCATTCCACAAATCCTTGTCGAGTTAAAGTGGCTGTGTACAATGAAGGAAATGTGTAGGCTGATAAATACAGGCAGGTCTGATCTAATTGGAGAGGCGGTGGTTTTAGAGAAAGAATACCCTGGAAAAGTGGTTTGTCAGCAGAGAGTGGACCACATGAACAGGCAGCCTCCTGTAGGAATGGGTGGGGCTCAGGGAAGTCTGGGCAGAGGAAATAGTACCAAGCATAAAAGTCTAAAGGTAGAAACCAGTAGAAAAGCTTGAAAGGTGGTGAATGGCTGGAGAGGAGGGCATGGGCTAAGTGATATTGGACCTGGTGAGCAGAACTAGCATCCTCACGCTGTGCATGGGTGTGAGAGTGCTGGGGATTTACAGCCAGTGTCCATTCCGGGAGGTGGGAGGCCAGGTACTTATTATTAAGCACTGTAAATAGCTCCCTTCCCCGTAGGCCGTATTACTGGTCTTGTAGGATACTTTCACTGTGGTGGGGCCTTTGTTTAGGTTAAAGCAGAGAAGTGGACTGGTTGCATGTGGTAGTAAGGCAGCTGGGATTTTTCTCTGAAAATACCTGGCAGTGTTCTTTTGACACAGCGTTTTAAGAAGACAACAAAAGGATTTTTTTTAGAATGAATGAACCAGCATTGTGGAAAGAGATCCATGTGTTCCCTGGGCAGATAACTCAAGCCTTGTTAGTGACACATAGCAATCTACAGATGCAATGAGAGTGCAGATTTGTTACCTTGTACATACAAAAGAGTTGGTGAAATTCTGAAGCTCAGCATGATGAAGCAAATATAAATGGAATCACTTTTCTTTTTGCACTGCCAAGGTCTACACAGTCACTGTTGGGAGTCCATGTGATTCTCCATCTGAGCAAGGATGCTCAGATCCAGGCTTGGTTGGTCTTTAAGCTCCAGGATCCATACTTCATATCCAGCCTTGTGCATGGTGCATTGTAAGTGGTTAATAAAATGTTTGCAATGAGTTAATTTTTTTGTACTATCTCCCTGCAAGAGGCTTACTCCTGCTTTACTTATCCTTTATTCATGTATTCATTCATTCATCCCATAAATGTGGGCCCATTGGCCTAAGAACTCTTTTCTCTAATCTGTTTGTTGTCTATTTTTTTTTTAATCAGTCTCTAGTATGTCAGCTAAGCTGCTACAGCTGGGAGAGCTTTTCACCTTATTGGTAGAAGACTAACTTATTCTGGGAGTCTGAGGGGGCTTCTCCCTGTGTCCCAGCTCCTGTTGATTACACTGGCTACACATGGGCAATGCAAGCTAATTTCGCTTCTCAAGGTCTACAGTTTGGTCACACTTACAAAATCCCCTTTGGCATGTGAGGTGACGTATTCACAGTTCTGACATTAGCTCATAGACATCTGCATTGTTCTGCTTTCCCCCAGATCTGCTCTCTGCCCTCCAAAGATTCATGTTGGTCCCACATGCAAAATAAATTCACTGTATCCCACTATCTCCAAAAGCTTTGATATAACTTCAGCTCAGCAACAAAATCTCTAATTGGGAATTGGGAAAATTCCACAACTCATCACTCAAGCTGTTTAAATCAGTTGTTAGTGAGACCAATTTTGGGAAGAAATTCTGCTCCATTTGTAGACCTGTGAAGCTAGAAAATAAGTGTCTATTTCCAGCATATAGTAATGGGACAGTATGGAGCACCTGCTGTGGAAAGAGGAAGTGGAAGGAGCACAGGAGTCACCAGTCCAAAGTAGCTTTGAGATCAAGCTTTGAGAACTTCATTGTGTTTCACACTCTAGGAGTAGCCCTTTGCCTTCTGTGCCTATAACTCATTCCTTGGAGACACCACTCCATTTATATGAAGGACAACATGTATTTTCAGACCAGTAGTTTTTGCTTTTGTTGTTTTTGAGACATGGTCTCACTATGTAGTCCAGGCTGGATTTGAACTCATGGCAAACCTCCTGCCTCAGCATCCTGAGTGCTGGGATTACAGGCATGCACTACCCTGCCCAGCTGCAGAAAAATAGTTTTATCAACCTGTTTCCTGCCTGTAGAGCTGAAGAATTTTGGGGGTTTGTCATCCCTCTTTCACTTTATCCTTTCTGTTCCCTTCAGTTCAAGTTGGCAGTGTTTCTGTTGGTATACACCTCAAGAATATTTTTAAAAATACATTTTGATTTTTGATCAGCACATAACAATTTTATATATCTATGGGATACACTGAGACATTTCAGTATCTGTGCGCAATGTGTAAAGATCAGATTAGGGTCATTGGCATCTCTCACTCTAGCTATTTATCACTGCTTCATTTTGGCAAATCTTCTCTGCTAGTTATTTTGAAATCTTCAACTAATACTTGTCAACCATAGCTATGCCACTGTGCATTGCACCACGTCATCACCCAGCCTCTCTCTATCTCTTCCTCTCCCCTTCTTTCCCAGCACTCTGGTCTCTGTGAGGTCAGCTTTTTGGTGTCCACACATGAATGAGAACGTGATGGTGTTTGCCTTCTGTTGCTGACTTACATCACAGCAAGATGTAATGCATTTCCTTCCATGATACTACACCATTCCAAATGTCACTCTTTTTATTAAGGTAACAGAATAGTATTCCATTGTTGAAGAATACACTCTATTCATCCATTCTTCTGTCTGTGGACCCCCAAGTTGATCATGCATCTTGCATATTGTTAATGGTGCAGTAAACGTGTGAATGCAGAAATGTCTTGGGTCCACCAATTTCAGTGGATTTGTGTGCACACCCAGTCGTGTGGTTGCTGGTCAACGTGATGGTTCTATTTCTAGTGCCTTTGAGAGAGCTCCATGCCATTTCCTGTTCTTCCAACAATGTCCAAACATTTCCTTTTTGGGCATCTTCGGCAGCATTTGATAACAGCTGTTCTAAAGGGGGTCAGGTGATAACTCATTATGGTTTTTTAATTGAAAAAAAGTTTTGCTATTGACTTGTGCTCCTGGATGGAAATAGCCTGATACCTGATGGCAAACTGTTCACAAATATTTTCTCACACTCTGTAGCTTTTCTCTTCATTGTGTCGCTGGTGTGCTTTGTAGTGCAAAAGCCTTTTGGTATGATAGAATCCAATTTGTCAAAGTTTGGGGGTCCTTATTTATGCAGTAGTGGGGACTGAAACCAGCACTGAGGTATAACCTGCCTTATAATATTTTTATTTTGAGAGAGGATCTCACTAAGTTGTTAAGTTGCCCGGGTGGGATTCGAACTTGCAGTCTTCTTGCCTCAGCCTCCCAGAGTGCCAGGTCTGCAGGGGTGTACTGCTACCCCCAGAGTCTTGTGAGGTCTTGTCACAAACCCCTTGTCTGTTCCTATGTCTTGAAAATTTTTCCTATGTTTCCTTCTGCTAGTTTCATAGCTTTTTGCTTTACATCTAAATATTTGATCAATTTTGAGTTGATTTTTGTGTATGGTGAGAGGTATGGCACTAGTTTTATTCTTTTGCATGGAGCTATTCAGTTTTCCCAGAAGCATTTGTTGAAAAATTTTTCCATTTTCCAGTGTATGTTCTTGCTGCTCTTGTCAAGAATTAGTTGGCTAAAAATATGTGGATTTATTTCTGGGTTCCTTCCATTGGTTTGTGGCCATTTTTATTATGTGCCTTGCTGTTTAGTATGTTGA